CACAGTCTGTAGATGGGATAATTTGGAGACTTTTCAAAGTATAAGACTGGTAATGCGAAGCCATACTGAGAAATAATGAATGTGAATCGCTTCATATTTGTTGAGTAATTTGACATTGTTATCCAAATTATCACTGCCAAGACTTACTACTGCAATTATATAAAACACTATTCGCCGGACGAAGTTTTTTGTTTTTGGGGGGTTGTTTATTGAAAAGTTCAGGTGACAACGTTTGGTTCAAAAAAATAATTAATATAAAACACATATATAAGAATAAGGATAAATTTAAATGATTGAACCAACTAGTAAATATCAAAGATCTAGTTTGAAATGTGGGGGAAAAAACTTGTAAACTTCTTCTGAAATTGCATATTAATGTGTCGTTTTCGTTAGCTGCGTGAACCACGGGTCATATGAATAATATCGTGCATCCCACTAGAATACGAAAAGCTGAGGATCATAATATGTGATCCTTTCTATTTAATTTGTCAATTATATATTATATTACATGATATTTCGAAGGAATTTCTTGGGTCTTCCTTTATATCATTATGGATTGACTTCATCATTAATATGTAAATTTCATTGAAGTTGTGTAGGTTTACGTGTGCAGGACTCCAAGTACTCACTCTATGAAGAAAAAACAAAAGAAATAGAAAAAATGGGCCAAATTAGAAAAAGAAGCATCAAGCAATTTTCAAGGAAAGCGATTGGAAGTGGCCACGCAAAAACAATGTTAAAAGTAAAAAAAAAAAAAATGTAAAGTTCTAGGAAATTTTGCATATGTGGTGAAGGGAAAATCCTAATCTGAACAACTCGAATTCCAATGAACGCATGCTACCAAATCGATCCCTTGCTTCACAAACACGTCAGGGTGTCTGCATATTATTTTAATAAAGCTGGCCAAAATATTTTATTTTAATACTGTATTTTAGTCATATTTTAACAATAATTTAATTTTTTTTAACATAATGGTTTGAATTATTCCGTAATTTACAACTATATGACTTGTGAACTATATACAACTAAGAAGGTGTTTGGATGAAAACTAAAACATGATTTTAAAAGTAATTTTATGACATATAAAGTAATTATGTGCGAAGAGTTTTGTTTTGACTTGCATATTTTAAAAATTGCTTTTGTTGTAAACTACACACTCCTAAAATATTGACCCACATTGACCGAGTATATTTTATTATTTCATAACAATGGCTATGTAGTATGTACATGTTTTGTAAACAATTATTATTATAATTTTAAATATAAATTTATTGACATAACAAATTATAGTTACTAGTTAATAAAATAGACTTTTTTAAAAAAAGTAATACAAAAAATAAAATATGCAATTTAAAACAAGCCGTAGCTCATATTCATTAAACGTTATCTAACTATTTTATAAGCCATTGCCTTTTTATAACATTTTTTTTATAAATTTGACAGCTATATAATTAAAATAACCCCGAGTATTAAAATAAAAGTTAGATAATAAATTTGAGAATATTAAGAAAATTATTGAAATTTGTTATTTATAACAAATACATGTCAGCTATTCTAAACTATCATATTTAACCATGCATATTAAAATCCATTAGTAGAAACCTTATAATCAATGGGGATTTTTTTTAAAAAAAGAATTATAAATTAGAAGACAAGATAGATAGATTGAGATATTAATGATCAAATCTAATCTTTAAGCTAGCTAGTATTGTACTATTGTGAAGGACATGAAGTAGTATTAATAGTCAATAATAATAATAATACATGTTCTTTTTGCTTCTTTTTATATGACTTTATAAAACATTTTGATTTTATTTCTATATTGATTTATAATGCTAAAAAAATTAATTATTATTTCTTTAAATATACCCTGCCTAAGAGATTAAAAACAAATTATTATAATTTTGGTTGATTAATTTAGTAAGGATATATATAGACAATAGGTAAAAAAATTTTACAAACATATTAATTACTCTTTATAATCCATATAGTCATATATGTCGTGTGAAAAAAAAGTAAGGGAGAATAAAACAAGTCAACATGTAGCATTCCAATCCATATGCCATGATCACTTCCTTAGCACCCAAGTTGTGAAATCAAAATGCGTAAAATTGACTTTGCTTTAGGGGAAAAAACAAAGAAAAAAAATCATAATGCGCCAACTATTGAGGCAAACAAAATAGAAAATTTATTTGTGATTATAGTTGAACTTATATTATTTTTAATATTTTTTTACCAGTATCAACAAAATTTTTTGAACATGTAATATTTATGTTCTGTTCGATTACATAAACCATTAAATTATGCAGTTAGGGATAATTATCATTGTTTTGGGAGACAATGAAAGTGATTATATGATTCAGATTCATCAATTCTACATAAAAAGGTGTTACAAGTTCAATTTATTAGAATTTAGAAACATGGGATTGCTTAACGGGGTTAGTAAAGTCTCCAGAATAGCAAGTTGTGCTTTGCTTTTCTTTTTTTTTTTTTTAAATAATTATAAATTGATGAAAATTCAAGGAAAGTTCCAAAAGGACCAATTCTCGTAAATCCAGCTAGGGGTGCATAAAGTCGTGAACCGGTGCCTTTTTCCCGTTTCCCTTTGGAATGAACTGGCTTTCGGTTTTTGAGACATCGGGTTGGTTATTGTACTTAGAAAAATATTTAGAAGTTTAAAAAGAAAAATAATTTAATTTAATTTAGTAATAGAAAATATAATTTCTTTCATCTCAAATATATTCCCATGAAAATTAATATTAAGATGTAAAAATTATTTTTAAATCATAAATATGTAATAATTAAGCCTTATTTTTATATAATATCAAGCAAATAAATTAATTTAAATTTTTTTAGATATTAAAAGAGTGAATATTAAAATTTTTTGCCATAATTATAAAGTCAATTTAATATATAATGCATCAGAAAACAAATAGCTAAAGTTAATTAATTGATATTCATAATAAAACAAGAAAATTTGTGTGTATCAAGGTGGGATAAATTGGGGTTTGATCTAGCCAAGTGTTTAACCTAACCCGCTTATGTAGAATCATTCTGATATCCTAGGTAGGGTTAGGCCAATCAAGTCGATGGATTTGTTAAACATTCATAGATCAAGTGAACAAAATTATTAAATTACACTTTGATTGAGGGAAGATATTACTACCTCCGGTTCTTAATATAATTAAGAGTTAGTTTGATATTTAATTTAGTTTTAAGTAGAAATCCCAATTCATTTTTTTTAATATTTATCTATTTTTTTAAAGTAATCATTGTAGTAGTTGCACATATCAAATATTTTATCAAATAGTAGTTCTAGCAAATATACATAATTATTAGGGGTATACTAGAGAAGATAACACTTATTTATTACAAATAATTAACTTAATAAATTTTTTTAATTTACTTAAATTAGTTAACTAGCTTATTTATATATACACCACTTCTGGTCCTTTATATAAGAATTCGTTTGATTTTTATTTTGGTTCTAAATATAAAATCCAAATCCACTTTATCTCTTATATTTATTTATTTATCCTTAAGATAATCTTTATAATAATGGTAGTTCTAATAAAAAAATATTTGATTGGTAAGGATAATTTATGAAAGACAATACTTATTTATTATAAATAACTAATTTAACTAATTTTTTTAATCTGTTTAAATTAGTTAATAAGCTTTTATATTAAGGATTAGAGTTAGTATGATAGAAGGCGGTGAAGGAAGTAGTACGTACTTTGTTTTTGGGAAGGAAGGGAAGACAATTAAGTGAGCAATCCACGAATGGTTGAATTGCTAAAATTCCAGAGTGTAGACAGATAAATCAAATTATTTTGGGACGCAAATATTCTCTCCATCGAATTCAAATGCAAAATTGGAATGCATAATGGGTTAGGTTCTACATTTTTTTTGAATACTTTTAAAATCTCAAAATTTTAAAATATTTTTCGGTTTTGTGTGGCACCGATCCAACTCCATGCCGTCTTCTACCACTTCATACTTTTTTATTAAGAAAAATCCAAAATCACACTCTAGCTAGCAAAATATTATACTCCTAAATATAAGACCTATTTTATAGTGTAATTTATAATATAAAATGAGTCTTATATTTAAAACAAAAGAAGTATTCAAAATTGAATTCCAACTAATGGTGGATAGATGGAAAATAATTTAATATTTTTCAAATAATATCTTAATTTTGGAATTTGTGAATATATAAAATCTCGTTAAAAGAATTTTATTTTCATTTACAATTTTATTTCACTTATAGTCGGATTATTTGATTGTATACGGGTCCAAAAGAGAATAAAAATTGAAAATACATGATCATTCCCAAAATTATGTCATCATCAAAATACGAATTTATGAACCATTTTTCAAATTATGCGCTAATTTGACTATCAATGTAAGCTTATCATTCAAGTTTCATAGGAAAATTTGTTATGTGCATAGTTGAGTGTATTTTTATCTTAAAAATATTATCAGAGGAGTTACCGCTTTATATGTACTCAAAAGAAGATTATAAAATATTCTACCAAAAAAAAAGAAGATTATAAAATAGTGTGACACAGAGCCTTTCATGTTGCATTGTTTTTGAGAGATTACATATTACACATTAGCTTAACTTGACAAATTTCTTTAAACCACGGTAGCTTGTTTGGGAATAAAAAAGCACTTTAAACTCTAGTTCATATTGTTAAAAGAAATTGGACAGTGTGGGGTACCCAGATTTGGCGTCGGCACCACCTAAAAAAAATTCTAGGAGTGTTTAGATAGAAACTAAATCATGATTTTAAAAATAATTTTATAATATACAAAATAAATATGTAAAAAAATTTATTTTAATTTTGGAAAAAATATTTTTAAAAAACACTTAAAGCTTCTCAAACTCTTTTATTGAAAAGTAATCCTTCCGTTTTGCTTTCAATATTTTCTTCCTTCCCGGCAAGCACCAGCAACGTCTATACATTCTCCATTCATAAGAATGGCATGTCTTTTATATAGAGATGAAGAGGGAAACTAACACACACCCATACACTCGTTGCTTGCTCCTTCTTTGGACCAACGTCTCTCTAGAGACTCTTATTTTTACCTTTTTCGTTTTTGTTTCAAAAAGCCTTGCTGAATCTCTCTAATCCAGAATCTCGAACGTCGTCAATCTTTTGATGTCCTATTGGTGAGAATCGCTTAAGAGGAGCAGACATTTGCTTTCTCAAAAAGGGCCAAATCAAATCAATCTGTCTGAATAGATGGAGCAGAAACACGTTTTGTTGTCAGCATTGAGCGTAGGGGTTGGTCTTGGAGTAGGGATTGGGTTGAGTTCAGGGCAAGTGGTTCAGAAATGGGTTGGAGGGAATCATGCGCTCTGTGGTGAGCAGATTGAGCAGGAACTTTTAAGGCTGGTGATTGATGGCAAGGAATGCAAGGAAACTTTTGAAGAGTTTCCTTATTACTTAAGGTAATTTAACTGACTTTTCCTACCAAAATTGTTAATGTATTTGTTGCTTGCTTTTTATTTTGTATAATGAAGTTGGTGCTTCAAGGTTTTGAAGATATGATAAACATTTTTCACGGGGTACTTGAAATTTACTTGCAATCTATTTTGAAGCTTCTTGTACTTGTAGATTTGACTTTCTGACATGACTTCTGGTCTTCTATGTTGGTTCTTCTGTTCTCTGAGATTTTTTAAGTTTGTTATTGATCTCAGGTCTCGGCTTTATGCTCTGTCAACCCTGAGCTTTCTTTGATTTTCTGTAGGAGGAATCCTGTCCACTTTTCCGTGGAAATTCTCTCTTTCTTTTATCATTTCTTGGGCCAGGACGGATGAGAAGTTACGCAAAATGAAACTGAATCCGAAACTAACGTGCCTTAATGTATTGCTTGCAGTCACAGGGAATTTTTCTTTATTTTATTCATATAAGATTTTTCTCATATCTAGGATTATTCTTTTCAGTTGCAATTTTGTAGTTTTTATTTTATTTTTATTGTTCAGATTGATTCTGCATAGCACTTCGATGCGGATTCTAGTTTCATCCTCCTCGTAGAAAATGTAACATATATTCTTTGTGCTTTAGTGCACCTTTTATTTCCCAATTCAGTTGACTTCTGATTCAGAGCATGAAAACAGTGATTAGAATACACTTGCACACCGAAATATGTAAACTTTATCTTCCTGAAAATCTATTATGGTTTTTTTTTTTTGGAGGGGGGGTGTCAATTGACAAAAGAAACTGTTAATTTATGCTACTCTTATGTAGTGTAGCTCTCAGGTCAGCTATTAGTGAAAGAAACATACTATTGAAGAACTCTTGCAACGTTGAGCCGTATCCTTGCGTCCTTTTTCTTAGTATTATAAAATTCATTCACATATTACTCTCAGCCAGACATGATGCTTGAAGTACTTGTTTTTATTTAATGTCTATGCAAGCTTGAGAACCATGCTTTAGCTGTAACTGTACAAGCATAGATCTCTTGAAGTATCTATTGGGTTTTTGATTGAGGTGTAAGCAAGCATAAGAACCATGCTTTACCCATAACTGTGGCTTATGTTTAGCATAGATCTCTGTGGATGTGAGTCTTTGGTCCATTCACTGGGGAATGCGGCGTGATGCTCTACCCTTGAAAGAATTTGTTATGCTTGTCTTGAGACCATTTATCCTCAAGTAGATAGGCTTTATAAACACCTGCTTCTAGTTTCAAATCTTACGTGAAATATGAATTTTCCCTGATAACTCAAATCTTATTCCACTGTTTGGTGGTGACTATGACAGTGAAAGAACTTGTGAGTTATTGAGGAGTGCTGCATTCGTTCATTTGAAACAACTTCACTTTTCCAAACACACCCGTAATCTTTCACCGGCAAGTAGGGCAATTCTGCTTTCTGGACCAGCAGGTATGTTATGAAGATGTCCTGCACAAGATTGTTTAGGTATTCATGTCTGATTGACTCATACTGTTATTTTCAAATTTTGAAGAGCTTTACCTGCAAATACTTGCCAAGGCTTTAGCTCATCACTTTGAGTCAAAGTTGCTGCTTCTAGATATTGCTGACTTCTCTTTCAAGGTGATTATTTTCATATGTTAATTTCATTTATTTAAATTGAATAAGCAAATATTAGCATCTGATCTATTTCCCTTGTACAGATGCAAAGCAAATATGGATGTGCAAGAACAGAATCAGTAAGTTTTCTTTTGCTATGAACACTTTATGTTTACTTTTTTGTCCCGCCATGGTGTCTGTTCTGCACTAACAACTGGCGATACATCACTGTTTACACAAAATAAATTTGTTTACTCACTTTGTCATTCCTTAAGTCATACTTTTAAATTATTAACTAGAATGTACACAAAAAAAAAAAAAAAAATTTAACTAGAACATGGATTGACATGAATATTTATGTGGGGAGTGTTTTCTTGCCTGTAATTCTGGACTCTAGACTTCCCTCCCAAAAAAAAAAAAGAAACTTTCAGTTCAGTGTACTATATTCTCTCAAAAAGGGATTACTTGAAGTTACAAATATTTAGTTGTTTTGTAAGGGGATTTTCCTAACTGGTTTGCTTTGTTTATAGTCCTCTCAAAGGTCTTTATCTAAGGCGGCTCTCGAGCGAGCGTCCAGTTTTTTGGGTTTCTTTTCAGTTTTCCATTCAACTGGAAAAACTAAAGGTAAGAAACAAGAAAGAAACACCCCCCGGGCTTGGGGAGAAAACAATTTTTGTATTTCTCAGTATTAGATTACTTTTTCTTGGGAGTATTGATACTTCTAACTGTTGATATGACGATTGAAATCCCTTCTACATTTAGTCATGATGTAGCTTTCTTTTTCAGTGCTGATAATTTTTTCTTATAGTGGTCATGTTCAAGATCTTGCAAAAGGTTATGAATTTTTCTATAACATCATGTTACCATGCGGATTTTGCATCTTTAAATATCCTCCAGTTATGACTGTTCGCTAAATTTTACTAAACTTTTGTAGTTTGTACATTATTTTGACATATCTTGATTGACAACTTTCATTCAGGCACTTTGCACACACATAGTAATAGTACTGGAAGTTCCAATACATCTTCAAAACTTAGCAGGAATGCCTCTGCTGCATCTGATATGAGTAGCACCGCTTCCCAATGTGGTCCAACAAATTCAGGTTGTACATGAAAACATATTTATCTCTCTCTATCATCCAGTTTTAGCTAATATCCTCTTCATATATATTTTGATAGATTTGTCTTCTATAATGATAACCGTGTTAAAAATGTACTAAACTCAAGGACTAATGGTTGCCAATATGTAAGGCTTCATCTTTATAATATCAAATATAGTACCTCTACTTTTAATTAAGCTGTGCGCATTGCCCACTTCTTTCACCAATTTGTTATTAGTAAATGCAGCTGCTTAATGCTTGGAAAGTTGGAAGTAAGTGTAGATTTTAGTTATTGCAGGGATATTCTTAGAATTTTGTAATATTTAATAGCAAGAATTTATCACATAATAATAATAGTAGCAGCAGCAGCAGCAGCAGTAATAATCATATCTTATCACTCTTAATCTAAATAATCAATTCCTTATTTTATAATCGAAGCTGCATAAATTGCAAATTTTTGTTTGCTCATTGCTTTGAACTTCCATTTTCAGGCACCTTGAAGCACATGAGCAGCTTGTGTTTTGATGAAAAACTCTTCCTTCAGTTGCTCTACAAGGTGATGTCATCATAGCTTTTCTCTCTACTTCGAATTTGTACTGTATTTAAGAAGTACCATAATGGGCAAGGTTTCCGTAGGACAAGTATAGCTGAAAAAAACTAACATCACTTGGAAGGTATCTTAATTCCATTCACTCAAAAAAAAAAAGAAGTGTCTTCGTTCCAGGGATATGGTCCTCTGCTACGCTAATTTTGAAATAGGATTTTTGCTTTGAAAGATACATCTAAGAAAAACGGACTTGGGATATATCTATCAATAGTCGTTTCTAACAAGAAGGATCTATATTAGCTGTTGCAGGTCTTGGTTTCTGTCTCAGGAAAAAGTCCCATCATTTTATACATTAGGGATGCTGAGAAGATTTTCCTCCAATCAGAACGGCTATGCAATTTGTTTCATAAAATGCTTGAAAAACTTTCAGGGCCAGTGTTGGTACTTGGTTCCCAGATAGTAGATGCTGAGGATGAATTCTCAGAAGTTGATGAAAGGCTTGCAACATTATTTCCTTACAACATTGAGATTAAACCACCCGAAGATGAGATTAGTCTTGGAAACTGGAATGCCCAACTTGAAGAGAACATGAAAATAATTCAGTTTCAAGATAACAAAAAGCACATTGCTGAAGTACTTGCAGCAAATGATATTGAATGTAATGACTTGAATTCAATCTGCCGTGCAGACACAATGGTGCTAAGTAATTATATTGAAGAGATTGTAGTATCTGCTATACGTTATCACTTGATGAATACCAAGGATCCAGAATACCGAAATGGGAAGCTAGTAATATCATCTGAGAGGTTAGAACCTGGACCATCGATTTCTAAGTATTCATTTAAGCGAAATGTTTTCTAGTTACTGATGTTGGTAATGAACAGTCTGTCCCATGGTTTGAATCTATTTCAAGAAGGCAAAAGAACTGCTGAGGATACCCTAAAGCTGGAAGCTAATGGAAACAAGGTATGCTTACATCCATTCTCATTTCCAAGGGTAAGATGGATCAGCAAAATTGCTTCCACATAAATAAATAAATAAATAAGGAAGAAAAAGGCAATGAAGATGATGAAAGAGTTCTCATGATTCTAAATTTACATTGCAGGGCTCAGCTGGCGGAGAGGGGAATGGTGCAAAAAATGAGGTACGGTCTGACGCTCAAGCACCTGAAAACAAAAGTGAGACAGGGAAATCCATTCCTCTAGCAAAGAGTGATGGAGAGAATTCTGCTCCAAAAGCGTCTGTAAGATTGATTTCCCTGTAGCCAACTTCAAGAAGATTTGCATTGGAGGGATCTTGAAAGGCGAAGCAGTCTTTCTTATCATTCTAGAACCCACTGTTCAGACACATATTGAACCTCTTTCAGACAATGAAAGAGAAAGGAAACTCTATCAAGAACGTTCTATGCATATGAGCGGCTGACAACTACTATCAGTTTCTATATTCACAACAAATATCATCATCAAATATTACACATTTTTTCACATTGCACTATTCCGTAAACTTTTGTCAATTTCACTATCACAGCATAAGAGTGTTTGAGATTTGATAGTTAAGCCGATACGAATGGTTCCGGGGCATGCCTTCACTTTTCTCCAAGGCCTAGAGTTTGAAACTATTCAATATTAATTGTTGTTTTACATGGTTACTTGCGTCTGTTATTTTATATTATTATTGTTCTTATTACTATTAGTGTTACAACAAGTTTATTATTGTGATTGCAGGAAGTTCCTCCTGACAATGAGTTTGAGAAGCGAATTAGACCAGAGGTCATCCCTGCAAATGAGATTGGAGTTACATTTGCAGATATTGGTGCATTAGATGAAATTAAAGAGTCACTCCAAGAGCTGGTCATGCTTCCCCTTCGAAGGCCAGATCTCTTCAAAGGTGGACTTCTTAAGCCTTGCAGAGGCATATTGCTCTTTGGACCTCCAGGTACTGGGAAAACAATGCTTGCAAAGGCAATTGCAAATGAAGCTGGAGTAAGCTTTATCAATGTCTCAATGTCTACCATCACTTCAAAATGGTTTGGAGAAGATGAGAAAAATGTTAGAGCTCTGTTCACATTGGCGGCAAAGGTTGCCCCAACTATTATATTTGTTGATGAGGTTGATAGCATGCTTGGGCAGCGAACAAGAGTTGGAGAACATGAGGCTATGAGGAAGATTAAAAATGAATTCATGACGCACTGGGATGGTCTATTGACAAAACCTGGGGAACAAATTCTAGTCCTTGCTGCAACCAACAGGCCAGTTGACCTTGATGAAGCAATCATACGACGGTTTGAGCGAAGGCAAGTCATTATAGATGCATAGGTTGTCTGTTTCTGATTAATTTCAATATTGCCATTCTTAGAAAAAGTGCCTACATGACCTTTATCAACAGTTAGGTGCTCATAAGAAAAGAAAAGGCTAAATCAAACTATAAAGCTTTTACACATAGATTGCAAGTGGCTCCATCATATGACATGGTTCTTTTACATTTTGTTTTTCCAACTCTATGCAACACTCGTGATCACCAAAGTCTTCAAGTTTATAAATTGTCTGATATTTGTGTTTACTGACAGAAAAATACATCAGTGTTTGAATTTGCACTACTATTTATTTTGAAGATTCTCTTAAGCATCTCTTAGCAATACTATTGAATAATTTGATTTTCAAACGCATCTTATTATTGAGATTTGCAACTGATGCCTCTGTAACTTTTCATGTTGAGCAGAATCATGGTTGGCCTTCCATCAGCTGAGAACAGGGAAATGATCTTGAAGACTCTACTAGCTAAGGAAAAGACTGAAAATTTAGACTTCAAAGAGCTTGCTGTTATGACAGAAGGATACAGTGGAAGTGATCTTAAGGTTTGTTTTGCAGCTTATGATTCTAGTTTACTGCTTCTGAAGTGTTGGCATCATCTCGACACTGAATTTCTGTATAAACAGAATTTTTGCACAACTGCTGCTTATCGACCTGTTAGGGAGCTCATAAAGCAGGAGAGATTGAAAGACAAGGTAGTAGTATCACTAAGCAACCTTTACAATGTTATTTTGTGACATTGCCCCCAACCTTGCCCTTATCAATACCGGTTAAATGACTGGTATCAATTTTATCTTGTTCGAGGAAAAGAACAAAAAGGCAGCAGAAAAACAAAACTCAGAGGATGCTTCTGATACTCAGGACGATGGAGAAGAGCAAGTAATTGCCTTGAGGCCTTTAAACATGGAAGACATGAGACAGGCTAAGAGTCAGGTAAGGTTAACTGAAAACCCTTCTCAATTCACATGAAGGACAATGGATTTACAGTATTCTGGTTGTTCAAGGGAATTCACTGACTAATATATGACACCTGAGTAAATAGTATCAGGTTGGTAATATTTCATTAGTATGAGGCATGAGATAATCGCAATCAAAGACTCAACTAACCTGTACTTGATTCATCACTGATTTCGCTACTCTTTTGCTTCCTTTCTATTGTGTCTTTCCTTGAAAAGACTTACATTGCGAGTCTTGATTTCAGCACATAGCTTTATCAGACGCCTAGTACACCTCAACTGTTAAAGGAGATCATAAACTTGCCTAGTGACCCCTCATGATTATACTTGTGAAACTTGATCTTTATCATTGTGATACAGACGAATCAAGATCTTGTATTCTTCCCTACATATGGCTATTTCATTATGAAAGCTTAATGGTTTGTTTTAATGCAGGTTGCTGCAAGTTTTGCTGCTGAAGGATCAATAATGGCTGAGCTGAAGCAGTGGAATGAGCTATATGGAGAAGGAGGTTCAAGGAAGAAACAGCAACTCACTTACTTCCTATAGGATGTACGTAGAAAGCTGGTAAGCAATGGACTGGTCAACATTCTTTCTTCAAAACACAAGAACATAGCCCATAAAACCGACATTGAAATGTCCAGTTATGCCAGGGGGATGCTCTCAAAAATTAGAAGCAATATCTTGTACATATAGAAGAGCTAAAAATCCAGGCATATATCCTCCATACTGTGTGTAATTCATCATATCATGCATCATGTGTGGAGAGGGTTGTTGGTATTTCATTCGGTTGTCTAGAAACCAATGCAACCTGTGCTAGTACTAGGGGACTCGTAATTGGTTTTTGAAGATGCATTGGCTTTTCAGTGAGTAAGAGTGATTACACCAAACCTTTTAGGTTAATGATGTATTTATAAGAAAAGCATCGTCAGACAGTGAGCTTTTGAATAATGGCTTGTAATTGCTTGTTTTGTTTGCGTTAGATTTCAGATCTACTATTGATGGTCTTGAGTATTTAATAGAGATTTTTCCTATTAAATATTATATATAATACATGAACGGTATAAATATTGGATATACGTAATTTAATTTAAATATGTTTAAATGATAATCGTTGAACTTTGGGTTTGCCTTTAATGGGCCTGATTATTTTAATTGGGCTTTTCGTAATCAAAATATAAATTAAATCAAGATTTAATTATTTGTTGATATCACATTTATTGCGATACTATTAATTTAAAAATCTGATACTTGCTGCTAAAAATCTAATTTATTTTTCAATTGCGATCCATATATCATCTATTTATCATCCATAAACTATTCTAATTCCATTCAATAATAGTCAAGTTAATTAGATTTTTTTAATTAAAAAATAATTAAATCTTTAAAAATATTAATTTTTTAATCATTATAATTCTATTTGATTTTTAATCAAGTCCTTATATTAGATTTTCAAGTTATAGTCATTAGTCCATGTGTTCATAATATGTTAGATTGATGATTAAGAAACATAAATATTCACATAATACAAAATAAAAAGGAGATTTTTATTTAAACAAAAAAATAAGCTTTATGATGTTTACAATCATCGCCGTGGATATATAATTTGTAAGCTAATTAATTTTGATTTTAGGAAAGAATTAATTATTTAATACTTGAAATTTGGTTGAGTTTGTAACTGAGTTCTTATAGTTTAACTTGTTGCAACTCAATCCTTGTAGTTTATGTTTATGACTCGATCCTTATTAGTGCTACATCAGATGAAAATGATCCAAGTGGATTGTGAGCTATGATGTTCTTCTTTTCTTTACGATGTTCTTCTTTTCTTTACTGTCTCCTTCTCCAACGTGGCACTGCTTCTTCCTCATCTCCATTGCCATCATAAAGAGCCCAAAGCCTACAACCCATGAAGCTCACCACCACGTTCATCCCCTCCTTCTCCCACAGGTCTTCACTGCGACTGTCATTCTCATCATCACCCAATCCCCAACTACCATCTCCCCTAATAAACACACTTGGTGTCATATCTTGTAAATTTTAACTTACGAGATGAAGGATTTGAAACTAACTGTGGGCTAGATAGAATAGTAGAATAAAGATGGAACAACTTTTAAAGTGAAACCTAGGTAGGGACCAAACTGTCATTTTGAAAAGTTTAAGTTAAGAAAGGACAGTATTGGAAATTATGCCTGAAATTCTTGAAATTCTTGAAAATTCATGAAAAGTAGAGTGTCTAAAATAGTATTTAAGGCCTAAAAAGTGAAAATAGAATGAGACTTATCAGAAAATTTTCTATAATTATAGGTATTTTTGGCTAAACAAGAAAAAAAATTAGCCAAAGTGAATTATTTTAAATGTATAAAGGTCTTAATTGTTCAGACAGAAATGAAAAAAAAATTAGTTGAGAGTTTATTACAGATTGTAAAATTATTTCTAAGCCTTGAAGGTGAGAAGGTTAACTTTAAAAATATTTAATGTCGAATCATATCGGTAGGAGGTCGATTTTGAAGAAATTTGAATAGAGGGAGTTATAGGTTGAACTTTAATCTAAGAAAAATAGGGAACTTCCTCTCATTAAAAGAAAGTTATTGGCATAAAGAAATGAATTTTTAGAGCCACTGGATTGGACAGAATTTAAGAAAAATTTAACCAATTTGGTATAATTATTCAGTAGAATGATCTAAAGCTTGGTGAGGTAATTTTTCTCCATAATTTTCTACCATTTTGGCACCATTTTATGAAGAGACGATATGATTGGAATTTTTAAAATTTATGAAAGGCATGCCTGGAAGAATGAATTATGTAATAAGATAATATATTTTTAAACACATGTTTTTCTAAAAGGAAGACACCTCATAAGGCAAATGGCATGATATTAGTATTTGGAAGACAGGACGACCTTGACTTGGAAGAGCTTGATGATGTAAGGGAGATGATGTAAGAGGACACATGGCTAGTCATCTTATTCTCCTATGACACTCGGTATGATCATGTAAAACATGGCTTGATAAAGGGGACAAGTGTACAAAGAAATTATAACATTTCACCAAGACCCAAATAGAAAATCCAAGCTAAAAGTTTGTCTATAAATACCTATCCAAGTTCCTCATTTTTGGCCAACATAAGAAGACATAGAGAGGAAAGTTTTTGCTCTTGAATCAAAGGGAAAAGGGAGAGAACAAGGAAAAAGAAAACCAAGTCAATTTTAAGGCAATACACAAGGTAAGTTAAGGATTCTTTTAAGGGTTTAATTGCCTTAATTAATGATTGATTTGGATTTAATTTTGATGGGAAAAAATAGCTAAAACCCTAAGGTACTTTTTTGGCCAAAATGTTATAAGTCATAACATGAATGATTAAAGGGTGGCCTAGGAATTAACTCTATTTATGGAAGAATTTCAACTTGTTACACACATACATATGCTTTAGCCAAAGGAAGAATTAAGGGAAGAAATTGGATTTGGATAAATCTAAGTTCAAATATGGATTCTACATGAAAAATCATAAAAATGACACAAAACCCTAAAATCAAAGATAAGGTTTATGGTGTATGTCAAGTCAAGTCATTGATATTGCTTGAGTTGAACATAGAATGCCCCTGTTGTATATTTGATAGGTACTGTCCATTGGCAAGAAAAGCTCCAAGGATAAAGGAAAGGAAGAAAGAGTCAAGCTTGAAAGAGGTAGCAAGAACTTACAACTTTGATCTTAACTTGCATTGTTTATTTGGTTGCTATATGGATATGCTGATTGAGCCCAATTCTTTTATGTCTCTTCATATCATTTTCAGGGCTTTTATCATAGTTAGTAGCTCTTTTAGTGATAATTGTGTTTAATTTAGATTAAGATTCCTTGCTTTGAGTTACTGTCTTTTTTAGGACAATTAATGCTTCAAATTGTTGCTTTCTATTGCAGGAAACTTAAGAATTAGAGCCATGATTGGAGACTAAGGAACTACACAACACAAGACTCAAAGTATTGATTCTAGAACTGTTCACTATGGCTAAGTAAATTATGTGCCACGGTGTAATTGGAAGATAAGCATCACTATAGTCTTAAGATGTCTTCACCGCGGCCATATTTTGTCTTCACTGTGGCAACCTCATCGATTTTGATGAAGCTCCTCTTAGGAAAGCTTCATTACGGCAAACATTTCCCTTAGCCGCAATGAAGTCCTCATATTAGCAACCCAGATTCAGATCCTAATAGCAAGATTAGGCTACCCACTCATTAAATCCTACCCATTTCATCCCCTTAAATGTTTAGAAACCCTATTTTTGACCTAACACTCCATTCACTCATCTATAGCCTCCTCTATTCATCCTCTCTCACTCTCCCTCATCAAACTCTCATCTTCTTCCACTTATGCATCTTCCACTATGGGTAGCTCGAAATCATTGTTGATTGTGGTGCTTCCTACTCCATTACATGGCTAGACATTTATTCTCTTGAAGATGGATTGATTGGCATGAGTTCCAAGAGCTTCAAAGAGGAGTTGGCTTTATCTATAGTCTAGTTGCTTGTTTATGAATTCCTAGATCTAGGGTTTGTAAATTTGTGACTGAACTATGTTGGTTATGATTGTAATCAATTCTAGATGATTATGTTATGTATTGGATTAGTTAATGTTGAATGTGGGCTTCTATATATGTGATTACATATATGTTTCTATGCAATTCTTTTGATACTCTTCTTTCTACATGATATTGTTTAATAATGAGTTAATCTGAATTTACATTGAACCAAGTGCATTAATTAATCCTAATACACACATAAAGTGAGTTTTATAGGGTTTTATGATTGGATGTCCATTTATTAAGACTCTAGACTTAAAGGATTCTTTAAGGTTTTTCGTTTAGAAAACTTAGTGATTTATACTCCCAAAGTCATTTTGAACTATGATTGCCAAGATCCATTTTCAAGAGGTTTCATCAACTATTTCCAACACTTGTTTTTCTTAGATTTAAGGTTTTGATGATAACAAATCAAGTATGTTTTGGTTTAATATGTTGATCGATCACCTGATCGATCAAAAAGTAATCGATCAAGTATCAGATAAATTGTCTCTGTGTAATTGAAGGTTGGTACTAAGTTTGATCGATAAATTGATAGATAATTCAAGGTTTATGTGTTGATCGATCAATTGATCGATCATTGTTAACAATGTTTGGTATAAAAGTCTGTAGAAAATTATCTATCACTTGATCGATAATTTGATGATCAAACAATTGATAGATAAAGGGACATTATTCTGGTAGGAAGTTATCGATCACATGATCGATAAATAAGTTATCAATGAGGAGATAGATGAATGGTAAAGCCCTTCTACTTAAGTTATATTCTGTTTCATTCATCATTTATCGATCACTTTATCAATAAGAGATCTATCGATAACCAGATTGAACAATGCTTGAAAACTCAGTGGATTATTGATATGTTTCTGGTCAAGGTTGTTTTTTGGTTTTTTAATCGATCACTTAATCGATCAGTGATTTGTTAATCAAATGATCGATCATCACTATCTCACTACACCTAACTTTTTGAGTTATGTTTTCGATCACCTAATCGAACATTTGATTATTAATGAAATGATTCATCATCCAAGTTTCTGAATATTTTGTTTTCATATAACATGATCGATTAAGCTTTATCCCTGGTTTTTTAACTAAGCTTTTAAAATAATGTTTTATCGATAACTTGATCGATCAACCTTTAATCGATCAACTACTCGAACATTATACAATCTTTGTTTTCAGCTTAAAATACTTTTCTTGACTTTTTATCAATAAGTTTTTCTATCATTCATTTATCAATAAAGTACTCGATCATTGTTCTTTGGAAACCTTTTTATCTCACTCAGCTTTATCGATAACATGATCGATCAAACAGTTTTTAATCACTTGATTGATCATTAACTCATTTCAGTTAAAAACAACAAGTTACAGTGACTTTCAAAATCTGCTGAATAGTTCTCTTCAAGCTTTTCTCAGCCTTCATGTTTATCATAATTCTCTATTTTAAGGGAGTCAAAGCCATAAGTGATCTTAGACCTTTTCCTACTTAATCTTTCAAAGGTCACTCTTTTCATTTATCGATCACTTAATAGATCAATGGTTAATCCATAACTTAATCGATAAATATAGTTATCTGTTTCAAATTCTTTCACTTTGATTAATCGATAACTTAATCAATCAACCAGTTATCGATCATGACTTCGATCAAGGATGTTTAGTTTATGTTTAAAGTATCTGGTGATTAATTGATTCCCTTTCCAACTGCCACATAAATGTTTAATATCACTTGATTAGTTATCATCATGAGTTTCATTCTGAAGGAAAAACTTATTATTTTCAAGTATTGTTACAGAATACAAAGCTCAATGGATACTCAACGGATATTTCGTAGCCCTTAACCTGCCGTGTCAGAAGCATTAATGGTGAATACTGTTGCAATTGGGAAAACACGCAACCGAACTTCCAACTGCTAGAAGCTCTTCAGTCTAACAATTAATTAAACTTCTCCAACTATAAAAGGTGCAAAGAGCATTGAATGAGTAATTGAATACGTGAGCTACTTCTGCTGAAATACTTACTGTTGCATTCAATACTCTGTTTTTCTTTTTTTATTGAACTTCAGTGTTTCATATTTATTTACTCTGTGAGACAGAATGATACACCTTCTTTACTCACCTTCTAAGAGTAACTCAAGAGTGTGGACTCTTAGAGGGATTGTAACCTTATGGGTAGTAAGGGGCAGTGATTGAGGAAATCAATTACTGTACTAAGACACCAAGAGCTCGTTTAATCTTGGGATTATAGTGGAAATCTTAGAGGTGCTCTAA